AGTACAGGGCAGACAAAACTTAGTATTTATGCAGATGACATCCTGCTAACATTTGAAGACCCAATCAGGTCGGTACCAGAACTACTTAAAGATATAAACAGCTATTCTAACATCTCTGGCCATAAGATAAATCTTGAAAAATCAACATTCATAGTTAAAAATATGAACAAAAGGCTGACCAATGATCTCGCACAAAATAATGGCTTAGCCGGAAATACGGATAAGTTGAAGTATCTGGGCATCATTATAACCCCACTATTAAAAGACATGGTAGAAGCCAACTTCCTTCCATTGCTGAAAGACACAAACAAAAACCTGAAAGACTGGAAAAATGTGGGATTTTCATGGCCAGGAAGGATTAATATATAAAAATCATATGTCCTTCCAATTGACTGCCCAGAAAACTGGTTGTCATTATTGCACAGGTCCTTCGTCAAATTTATTTGGAGTGATAAGAAACATAGAGTAAAGATGAAATTACTGGCTAGAGTGAAGCAGGACGGAGGGCTGGGATGCCCAGAAGTATTCCATTGCTACCAGGCCAGCAGATTGTTCCACATAACGCTCACACAGAACAGAGCGGCTATTAAAGAAAACTGGTATAAGATGGAACTAGCAAAGACCGGTGTAAGAAATTTAGAAACATCATGATAGAGGCGTCTAGCAAATCCCGGATACTCGAAGAACTGACAAGATGGTGGAGCAAATTTATAAGTAAGAAAGATCTTAGGAATAAAATAATAACTGCCCACCCTTTCATGACCATTGAAGACATGTTGGAAAATTTAAGAATAGATTCTTGGTCTGAGAAAGGGGTGGGGGATTATGGAGATATCATGGCAGAAGGTAAAGTGAAACCTTTTTCCCAAATCATGACTGGATTTAACATCTCCTCTAACCAAAGGTTTAACTATTTACGAATTAAAAGCTTTGTAATAAAACATATATATACAAGCAACGAAGAGGATACTAGTAACCTTATACACTTATTTGAACCAAAGAATTATAAAAACCTAATGACTTAATGTGTAAAAATTATATATGACTGGAGACATGATAAAACGTTAGAAGTGATAAAGAAATGGGAAAAAGAACTACAAACGAATATCGAAGTACATCAATGGAAAAATTTGTTAAATAAATTGAATAAGAATATTCATTGTTTTATGTTTTTTTTTAAATTCTTTATTTTATTTGTGCATAGCTTGAACAATCATGTTTGTACCGCCACAATAGCAGGTGCAAGCAGGTTTGAAAACATACATTAACATAGGTATGGCATTGAAATACATAGCACAGTTTTTTTATATTCAAGATAGGAGACATGTTAAAGGTTAAACAATGGATCATAATTACACAAAAAAAATCTGCCTGTCTCAGAGTTTAGTAATGCAGTATACTGATTAATCTTACAGCCTAAGGATTAACATGCTAGCTGAAAATATCTGAGGCTTGCTTGGTACATATGGTAACATCGCTGCTCTATCTGAACTTAGAATTGGCATGCTGTGTCACGAGCTACCAGAATGTATACATGCAGTATAATCATATTTGCATTGTAATCTGTGAATAACACACAAGCTTTTGCAGGCTAGTCTCGCTTAGCTGTTAGGTTACTTATACTGAATCTGCGCTTCGCTGCCTGATAGCAGGCTTGAGAGATGGAACAAAGGCAAAAACTTAAAGCATAGTTATAGTAGATTAGGTGAGGAAGACAAATATGCTAGACAATATGGCCCGGTTGGCGTTTGCTTAACACTGATCCTCGGCTGTCGTGCGCGTAGCTCGCTTGTACAGGAACATGCCGGCTTATAGTCTGAGTACCCTTGGAGCTGCTTGCCAGTCAGATGGTCTCCGCTCAAGGTCCTCGGTGTCGATTGGAGCACCCCAGGCCGGGACACAGGATAGGTAGGTTGCTCTAATGATTTCTCCCTGAGTTGCCCGTAGTGAGCGCCAAGAGCCCCGAGGAGGGGCCGCCCTCTCCACAGCGTGCCGTTCAGGCTCAGCCGCCATCTTAGGTGATAAACAAAGTCCCCGCTCGGGGTAGAACCCCAGGGTAGGCCGGGATGACCCCCACCGGCCCAGAGGGGGGGAAGCAGGGCCATCACCCCATTGTGTTAGGGGACCTCCGTGTTGCAGCCAGGTAGGGTAGCATGGCAGCGGCCGTCCGCCCTACTCCCCACCTGGATAGGTTTGACTAGGCCTCGGTCTCGAAGCTCCGCTTTCATTTCAAACACGGGCCCAGAGTCGGGTCGCTGATTGATCTCCGGTCCTAGCACCTCATAGTGCAGTTGCCTGCCGTGACTCAGTGCCAGAAAGTGCATTTTGGGGCCATATTGCCTGAAAATAGCGGGAGCTATAGTGCCATGCATCCACTCTGCTTGGTGGTCCGGCCCCGCCCCGCCCCCCAGAATATTCATTGTTTAAACATAATTGAGACCCAGCTTAAACTATCAAATACATGGTATCTAACAACCCAACGTTTGAAGAAGATCTTCCCCACAACATCGGGTGAATGCTGGAAATGTAAAACCATTGAAGGGAACTTGATACATGTCTGGTGGCATTGCTCGCCTGTCAAACAATTCTGGAGAGAAATAGTATAATAGCATAATTATACAAAAGGAAAAAAAAAAAGAGAAAAATACACTTTGATGACGACAGTGTACCAATGCCCAATGACTGGTCTAAAGTGTACTCAATGTACAAAGGCCTGGTACAAGTCTGATATAAAAAAAATTAAAAAAAAATTAAAATAATAATAAAAAAAATAATAAAAAAAAATAAAAAATTGAAATTTGCAGCCAAAATTAACACTGCTGGCAATAATGTAAACACTCAATTTTCTCTGAAAAGACAGTGTTTACTGCAAAAAGCCTGCAGGGAATAATTAACCCCATAACAATCGAGGACAGTTCAGGACCGGCATCGACATTTTAGCATTGCCGACTGCTGACGGTCCTGAACCGTCACAGCGTTCTTATGTATTTACATGATCGCCGTCGTTCCCCTGGCGGCGATCGCCAGTGCTCCCGGTGTGGGGAGACTGCCTGCAGCCCAGACAGTCTCCCCATGGCGGATTAGGACCCCTGGGGACATGTGATCGCTCAACAGAGTGATCATATGGTCACAATAGGTGTCCATAAATCTGCCTGCAGGGGGACTGCCTGTGCTGACAGGCAGTCTCCCTGCTAGTGTAAAATCAAAAACAATTTTTTTTTTTAATGTTAATACCTTTTTTTTATATTATATATAGACATATATTATATTGATATAAAATATGTCTATATATCATATATATAATGTCATACTAAGTGTATTTCTATATTAATATGTACATATATTAATATAAAAATACACTTATAATTAAATTACACACATAATATAATAACTATATATATTTTATATATATTATTATAAAATACAAATAATAAGTAATTTAAATTAAATTAAAAAATATAAAAATAATAATAAACATTTATTAGTTTTATTATTATGATATTTATAGAGCGCCGTCAAATTCCGCAGTGCTTTACAATGGGTGGATGAACAGACATGTAGTTGTAACCAGACAAGTTGGACACACAGGAACAGAGGGGTTGAGGGCCCTGCTCAATGAGCTTACATGCTAGAGGGAGTGGGGTATAATGACACAAAGCGGTAAGGATAGTATTAGACTAGTGACAGTTGCAGGAGAGGAATCAGTCAGGAGCTATTAACAGTTTAATGGATACGCTTTTATGAAGAAGTGGGTACTTTGAAGGAGTGGAGACTGGGTGAGCATCTAACAGAGGAGGGAAGCGAGTTCCACAGGAACGGTGCAGCCCTCGAGAAATCTTGAAGGCGAGCATCAGAGGTGGAAGTACGGACAGAAGATAGACATAAGTCTTCAGCAGCACGTAAGGGCCTAGACAGTATTTGACGATAGATTGAACATGAGGCTTGAAGGAGAGGTCAGAGTCAAAGAGAACACCTAAACACCTTAAATAAAATTATATATCTATATGAAATTTTATTCTAACTGTATTTTGATATTAATATATATATTTAAATCAAAATACACTTAGAATGAAATTGTATATATATCTATGTATATATAAATAAATAAAAATAATACGAAATATACATATGTCCATATACAAAATTACATAAATAATTATATAAATATACACGTAGACTTCAAATATATAAATATGCATATATATTTAAATTCTACGTGCATATTTATGTAATATTTTTACATAATTAAGTAATTTTATTGATTGCAATTTGAGGGACCTGCCTGCCAACCCAGGCCGAAAGTCCAGAGAATTTAATTTGCTAGCACTGTATTTTACCCTGTAACGTTCTACGACACCCTAAAACCTGTACATGGGGGGTACTGTTTTACTCGGGAGACTTCGCTGAACACAAATATTAGTGATTCAAAACAGTAAAACATATCACAGCGATGATATTGTCAGTGAAAGTGACTTTTTGCATTTTTCACACACAAACAGCACTTTTACTGATGATATAATTGTTGTGATACGTTTTCCAGTTTTTAAACACTAATATTTGTGTTCAGCGATGTCTCCCGAGTAAAACAGTACCCCCCATGTACAGGTTTTATAGCATTTTTGAAAGTTACAAGGTCAAATATATGGGTCAAATATTTTTACACTGAAAATGGCCAGGTTGGTTACGTTGCCTTTGAGAGCGTATGGTAGCCCAGGAATGGGAATTACCCCCATGATGGCATACCATTTGCAAAAGAAGACAACCCAAGGTATTGCAAATGGGGTATGTCCAGTCTTTTTTAGTAGCCACTTAGTCACAAACACTGGCCAAAATTAGCGTTCAATTTAGTTTTTTACTTTTTTCACACACAAACAAATATGAACGCTAACTTTGGCAAGTGTTTGTGACTAGTGATGTCCCGAACGGTTCACGAACGGTTCGCCGCGAACGGTTCGCCACGGACTCATCATTGAGTAAACTTTGACCCTGTACCTCACAGTCAGCAGACACATTCCAGCCAATCAGCAGCAGACCCTCCCTCCCAGACCCTCCCACCTCCTGGACAGCTCACTAAGAATGCAGCTTCACAATGAATGTAAAATGGATGCTGTCCAGGAGGTGGGGGGATCTGGGAGGGAGGGTCTGCTGCTGATTGGCTGGAATGTGTCTGCTGACTGTGAGGTACAGGGTCAAAGTTTACTCAGTGATGAGTCCGTGGCGAACCGTTCGTGGCGAACCGTTCGTGGCGAACCGTTCGCGAACTGTTCAGCGAACCGTTCGGGACATCACTATTTGTGACTAAGTGGCTACTAAAAAAGACTGGACATACCCCATATTAAATACCCTGGGTTGTCTACTTTAAAAAAAATATGTACATGTGGGGTGTTATTCAGAGATTTAGGACAGATAATAGTGTTACAATGTCACTATTGATAAATTTAAAAAATTTATGTTTTGAAACCGCAATATCCTACTTGTACTTATTGCCCTATAACTTGCAAAACAAAAAGCAAAAAAAGCATGTAAACACTGGGTATTTTTAAACTCAGGACAAAATTTTGAATCTATTTAGCAGTTTTTTTCATTCACTTTTGTAGATGAGTAAAAGATTTTTCATGTAAAAGTAAAAAAAAGTGGATTTTTTTCAATTTTTCATCATATTTTTTGATTTTGATTTTTTATTAAATTACATGAGATTATATAAATAATGGTATGTAAAGAAAGCCCTTTTTGTCCTGAAAAAAATAAATATAATTTGTATGGGAACAGTAAATGAGAGCGTAAAATTACAGCTAAACACAAGCACCACAAAAGTGTAAAAAGAGGCCTGGTCGCAAATGTACAACATCGCAAAAACAGTCTGGTCCTTAACCTCTTAATGACGAGTGACGGATAAGGTCCGTCACAGAGGGGAGACCCTTAACAACGAGTGACAGACCTTGTCCGTCACACGGTAAAATTAACCCCAAATCGCGGCGATCCCGGCGATTGCGGCGTTAATGGTGCTCCGGTCTGCCTCTGTATTAGAGGCAGACCGGGAGCTCCCGATCTGGCTGTCCCAGCACCGGTGCTCGCTCTGACAGGCTGTCAGAGCGAGCACATGTGCTCAGTATACTTACCTTCCACCTCCCTGCACTTATTTTACTCCTTGTGCTTTGTGACCTGTAACTACCAAAAAAAACTTAAAATCCCAGACACATTATATATTATGTAAATCAGAACAACTAAATGAATTTATTTTTAATTACTTTCCTTAACCTGCACTAATTGTGCACACATAATTATTGCAAAAACTGTAAAAAAGAACATAAAATGTTTCTTTTTCTTTGCATTTTTCTGTATTTTGTTTTTATAATAAATAAGCATATATATATATATATATATATATATATATATAAATATAAATAAGTGTTACATCAAATTAAAGCTGTTTCTGTCCTTTAAAAAACGATATATAATATGTGTCGAAAAAACCTTAGAATGTGCTGGCACTCTTCTACTGGATGGTGCTGGTATTGGAGGTGTTCCCCATAACAACCTCAAAATAATACAAAAAATCAATAAGTTCAATACAGCACTCAAATATGTGAATTTGTAAGAAAACAGTTGAGAGTTAATTGATTTATATATGCAAAAAAAGAAAAATTATTTTACTATACAAATTATGTACATCAATCCAAGAATTGATGTACATACTTTGTATAATAAATACATTTTTCTTTTTTGCATATATATCAATTAACTCTCAACTCTTTTCTTACAAATTCCCATATTTGAGTGCGGTATTGAATTTATTGATTTTTAATAATATAAATTAGTAAAATGCAAATTGCAGTTGAACGCAGACAGCAAAAAAATGCTGTTGTCATTAAGTGAAAGACACATTTCTGAAGCTCTGTCCTTTAGGGGGTTATATTCCCCAGAACAAATTACAATAAGCTGTTGTTGTTTTGGTGGCTATAGTGTCCCTTTAATAGTAACTGTGCCTACATTCCCTCAATGGATACAGTAACTAGTATATTTACTACTATGCATTAGTGAAAACCTGAGTAACATTTAAAAAAAAGTGGCAAAAGCATAAATGAAAAGTCACAACCATTTATTTATTTTGCTGATTTATATTTTTCTTGGTGTTATGACTATCAGCCTTCCCCACTGCCTGCTTTCTGCTATAACATGTACACAGCACTCCCTGCTCTCTGGATTGCGAAGCTGGATTCTCTCGGTTTGAGCCTTCCAGTCTGCCATACGTGTCAGTAAGCCTGCCAGGAGTAAAGATGGCTGCGCCTAGTGAGCCTGCTGCTAGCGAAAGTCCAGACGAAAATATCTTGTATGATCTCCTTATAAACATTGAGTGGCCTCCCGAGCTCGATATCCAGGTCAGCAGCCGCCCAGGGACATGGTGGGAAGGGTTTCTGGAAATAAGTGATAATACAGTGTGTGTAGGTGGCCATGTTGGGTCAGTAGGACACGTAGCACTATGGTTAGATGGGACATAGAGCAAGAAGAGGCAATGTAGCTAAGATACATGGTGACTGCTAACTGGAGTATATCTCTAACCATGCTCAGCCAGCCATCATAGCTGTCGGGGAGTAATAGTCCATAGTAGCCTGAGGCTCTGGTTGGAACAAGGGGTGATGGTAAACTGTGAGACATGGACAAAACAACAAAGAGAATGTTTGGAATATCCTAGAGAATGTGTGGAGTGTCCTAGAGAATGTGTGGAATATCCTAGAGAATGTGTGGAATATCCTAGAGAATGTGTGGAATATCCTAGAGAATGTTTGGAATATCCTAGGGAATGTGTGGAATATCCTAGGGAATGTGTGGAATATCTTAGAGAATGTTTGGAATATCCTAGAGAATGTTTGGAATATCCTAGAGAATGTTTTGGATATCCTAGAGAATGTTTGGGATATCCTAGAGAATGTTTGGGATATCCTAGAGAATGTTTGGGCTATCCTAGAGAATGTTTGGGATATCCTAGAGAATGTTTGGGATATCCTAGAGAATGTTTGGGATATCCTAGAGAATGTGTGGCATATCCTAGAGAATGTGTGGAATATCCTAGAGAATGTTTGGGCTATCCTAGAGAATGTTTGGGCTATCCTAGAGAATGTTTGGGCTATCCTAGAGAATGTTTGGAATATCCTAGAGAATGTGTGGAATATCCTAGAGAATGTTTGGGCTATCCTAGAGAATGTTTGGGCTATCCTAGAGAATGTTTGGGCTATCCTAGAGAATGTGTGGAATATCCTAGAGAATGTGTGGAGTATCCTAGAGAATGTGTGGAATATCCTAGAGAATGTGTGGAATATCCTAGAGAATGTGTGGAGTATCCTAGAGAATGTGTGGAGTATCCTAGAGAATGTGTGGAGTATCCTAGAGAATGTTTGGAGTATCCTAGAGAATGTTTGGAGTATCCTAGAGAATGTTTGGAGTATCCTAGAGAATGTTTGGGGTATCCTAGAGAATGTTTGGTATATACTAGAGAATGTGTGGAATACTAGTGCAACTCTCATTATTATATATATATTATCATCCTCCCTTGCAAGATACAGCATACATGTATCTTGCATAGCCATGTGTCTGTGGGAGATGAGATAAGGTAAGGCATATATGGCTGGAAGGAAGACTAAACTACCCCTCTGTAGTATAACACCAAATACTAGTTCATAGTTACCAACACGTGAAGGAAAAAATGTGAATGGCGTTCACTTGAACCAGAGCAATCAAGCAAATAGTTTACTGAAGTGTTGGCAATGCCTCCTTTTTCAATAGCCTCGCACATTATACCTTGTCCATATTGTTTATACCAATGCCAATATAGATATTAATGTTATGTGGAAGTATCCATTGCTGAAAATGTGGACAGTCTCATCCAGCTCCCAACCCTTTTCAGCAAAGCTATCGGCATTAGGCAAATAAACCATATTTTACCCCACTTACAACTACACATTAAAGGGACACTATAGTCCCGGAGAGTTAGGGTTTTAACTCCTTCAGTGCCCCTGAGGATGAGGGTCCACCAAGGATGACATAGTGTCAGGAAAACGGGTTTGTTTTCCTGACACTATAGTGATCCTTTAAGGAAGCTGTGTATTAGTGATGTCTAGGTGCCAAAAGACAATTATAAGGCACATTGTGCATGCACATTTGGATTCTTGTGGTTTACATTTTTAAAATGTGGAATGATGTCCTGGGATAATTATATAGTGGGGCAGGAGCAGGGCCATCTTAACAGCATTATAGGCTTCCAAGGCAAACAAGTGCACTGGGGTCCTTCCTACACAACCACCAATAAAAATGTAAATTATATATACAATATAAGCTTATATTTATTGGTACCTTCAACAAATGCAATACATACCTATACACATATTGCTGAATACACACACAAACAGACTGCCGAAAACACACACAAACAGACTGCCGAAAACACACACAAACAGACTGCCGAAAACACACACAAACAGACTGCCGAAAACACACACAAACAGACTGCCGAAAACACACACAAACAGACGGCCGAAAACACTCAGACAGACTGCAGAATACACACACACACAAACTGCTGAAAACACACAAGCAGACTGCTGAATAAATACATACACGGACAGACTACTGAATACTCGCACTGCAGAATACACACACAAATACACAGACTGCTGGATACACATAGACAGACTGCAACGAGGGGTGTAGTGTGTGTGTGTGTGTGTAGGGGTGCAATGTTTGTGAGGGGTGGTGATAAGGGAGAAAATGAATATTTTATTATTATTTTTATTTTAAATAAATGAATAAAGAAATGCTTTATGTCCCCCCGACCTCCCCCATTCTTATTACTTTTTGCCGGGGAGTGGGAAGGACAAGCCCTGGTGGTCCAGTGGTAGCTAAAGAAGTTTGGCCCGCAGCTCCTCCCGCGAGCCATGTTCTGTTTCAGAGAGTTGCCATGGTAACGCACGGCAATCCTCCAACCTGCCTGTTTGCGGGAGGAATGATCTGCCTACTGTTTCTTTCCTCCATCACCGCTTACAAAGTGCTAGTGGGCAGGTGAGGGAGATCTTTGATCTCCCCACCGGCCCGATAAAGGCACACAGCAATCCCTGGATGGCCTAGTCCCATGAGCATTGCTGTGAGGCCTTAGGCAAGTTCCCAGCGTGCCCATCTGGA